CACCCCCTCTATAAGCACATCATATAAAAACCTCTTTATAAGCACACCATGTTTGAGAACCAATTACTATTGAACTTATCGGAAAAACCCTCTATATAGTCACAACCTCTTTAGACTAACATGGACATTTATTTAAACAAGCAATAGTAATAATATTTTTTTCGTTGTTTATCTGTTTATTAGAATTATTCAAATAAATTTACGTTATTGAATAATCCAAAAGCGAATAACGTTAAAGGAAATCGTGTTACGATGAATCCTATTGGTCCCTCGATAACTCGGATTCCTCAATAATTCGGACAGCCATGCCAACCCCGTCGTGTCCGACTTATCGAGTTTCACTGTGTATGTATACAGAGGTTATTTGAGTGTTCGAATCCCTAAACTATCATAAGTTATAAGTATGATCGGATAAAAGAAACAGATATTATATAAAAAAAATTCAATTCTTGCCATTCCTGATAATCAACTTATTATTGGCCAACCTCCCATGCGTATACGCGTAAATTACAGAACTTACGCTTATATGCAAGGCACAGATCTCTTTCCGTAGTTACGATGCGAGTTTGCTGGTTGGGTGTCTTATACCCAATGTCTATTGCCAGTGAGCGTTTGTACAATATCCGTTGGCTATTCTGATGAATCTTCACTGTGCGCATACTCAAAACTAACTTTTGAACAACTTATTTTATCAGTCGCCTAAATGAGATATTTACGTTTATTTAATATAGTATGTTGTAATAAGCAGAATAGTAAATTAGTAACTTCTGCTTTTACGCCTAGAAAACTGGCTAGCCGCAAGAACACAACAATCGCAAAATGATTAAGATGCTATCGCATGACAGTTCCAACAGCTTACTACTATGAATCAGGAAACTCGTGATTGATAGAGTGCGCTTCCATAACTATGCCCTACCGAACTCAAGCTGCGATTGCTGTAATAGTAATATTAAATATTGATATTTACTTTAAATAATAAATTTTCTTTTTTAGGTTTAAATAAAACTTTTTTCAATATCTTAGTGTACAATATTTTTGTACCTCTTCCCGTATTAATATGCGCATTTAATCGCCACTAATAAGTTTTTTTCATGCAATATTTATAGTAAATGAACCGTTAACGTTGTGCGTCAAATAATATATAATATGTTGTACTTTGAGCATCTTACAGTAACTGTTTTGCGTCTATTTACAGATGCAATAATGTTACGTAAAAAATTTTGTAGTATTTAAGGTTAAACTTCTGCTCCGAAAGACAATAAACCAGAAAATTTATGACTAATGGTTTAAGTGGATACAAGCCGATATAACGACACGCTCGGTTTCAACCCAAATGGTCACTACGTGTATATCGAGAATGTCCTTATATCGAGAATCAATTTATATGCGACAACTAAGCAATATAGATTTTGTTCCACAATTTCTGTCGTGATAACAAGATGTCGTTAATGTTAATCAATTTAGTGGAATCGATAAAACAATAGCATAGGCTAATTATGGGAAATATTTGTGAAAAAAAAAAAAACCTCTATTAAATTTATGGCAATAAATCTTTGCCCATAAGCCATTAAATAAAGTATAAAGCTCATTCATTACTCAACCGTTGTAGCACAACTATCAATACTTTTTTGTAAAGTTGCGATGGTAAAGCCATCGGAATATCGGTTAAAGCGACTGACATCATCATTTTACTCGTCTGTCGGAAGTGAGTATATTCTATCAAATTCTCGTAGAGGTTGGTAACATTATCGTTATTTTATAAACAAACTGATAAAAGACTTTACTGAGTATGATAACAACTATTACATGGCTGCTGATATAGACTTTTACCACTGTTATTCTCTGTGTGTGTGTTTGTGGACACAAAGAATTATCCGATGGATGGACTAGCAACGATAATACAGTGTGTCAAGAAAAAAAAAAGAGAAAAAAAAAGGGAAAGTTGTATACGTCACTAAAACGTGTCTAGCATGCCCAATTTACGACGCGTTTAATTCAAAATAAACACAACATCTAGGAATCAACTTAGATTTCTTTTTCTCATTCATCTTTTTTGATACACCATTGCACAGTGTCTGTTACCAAAAAAAATTACAACGTAAACCTTTATTATAAGAGTGCGCAATGACATGCGCATATACAGTCTGAGGGTTATTAACTGTTTTTAGTCGTACTTATTATTATGTGCGTTTTTTAATAATCTAACTTCATTATCACGATATTGGTTGCAATCAATTTCTCCGTAATCAGGTATCTAAGACTATAACATCCTCCCACATGGCATAATTGAACGGAGTTCATCGGAAGCGATTCTAAGGCTCATGACCCGAACAACAGTGCTGATGACGCCACTTTAATGCAACAAACAGTTGACACTATAACGTCAAGAAGATTAAAAGGTTCAATCGGAACGGATTGCTACCAGTCCATAGCATTTTAACATATATTTCTCGGAGCAGAATTGTCTGCTGTTAGATGTTTGACTAACAATATCACAAAGTAGTGGCACATCAAACTACGTTTGGTGAGTTTGAATTTGTAAATATTGAACAATCTTTGCATTACGTACATAACCTATCCTCTTCATAATTAGATAAATCTGGATAGAACGTCACATGAGAGTATAGCGCAGTTCATTGGTGTGTATTAATTAAACTAACCATATATCGATATACTGTCTAATTCGTTAGAAGGGTGATCATCCACTTTGTGTTCCCAGATCAACAAATAAACACCTTTTTTCTCTATTCCACCGTCAAAGCAATGTCCGTAATAACCATCTTTGTTCAAAGTGAGAATAGTTCTTCAGAGAGAAGGTTTGACAAAGGGCTCACCATAGGAGATTTGAAAGTCAAACTAGAGCCTGTCACTGGTATTCCGGCTACAAATCAGATATTACAACTTTATAATGGCGATACACTCGTTACATCCGTTGAAGGAGATGATTTCATGCTGGGAGCATTTCCCGTCGACAATTACATGACATTGAAGGTGAGAAAGTAAGAATAGACATCATACTGAGTCATACGCCTTGATTTTAACGATGAATTAAGGCGTATTGTGTACAGAATTATTTCTCGTACTTACCAAAAGTTCGCATAGTATCAAAACACAAACACAGCGTAAACTGATAATGATAGTTCACCAACACCTTCCCATCATATAAACTCTACCTACTTCGCTTCATCCAAAACAAAAAACGTAGGTGACGGATTCGGATCCACGCGCGCCAAAAGGTCAATTCACTGACCTCTCTCAAGTAGAGAAATACGAACTCCCTGACGACGAATACGCCAAACTCACAGATTCCGTCCTTGCTTTTAAGCAGCGCAACAAATTTGGTCGATTTGCAGATTCTCAATCAGCGACATCGTCAAATTCCGATAATTTATTTGAAGAAGAATCCAAGAATATCAAAGTTGGTGATAGGTTCCAACTGGATCACTCTGAGGGCATAGAAGAAAGCTTTAAGAGAATAGGGACTGTAAGATTTGTAGGGTTGACTAGATTTAGACCCGGGTTCTGGGTTGGCATTGAGTTCGATGAGCCTGTCGGGAAACATGATGGAATGTAAGTATTATAACAAATGGTGTGGTTTGAATTAGCACTGTCTTTGTTCGATTGTCAATTTCATATTTGCTCTTTTTCTAGGGTCAAAGGTGAGCGTTACTTCCAATGCAGACCAAATCATGGTCTGTTCGTGCGACCCAACAAGATCATAGTGGGCGATTTCCCCGAAGAAGACATTGAAGAAATGTAGTCTTTTGTTGAATAAACCGTTTATCTTCGTCGGTAATAGATATTAATAGTTCCGAAGTATAAAATCTTAATCATAAATATTACTTTTTTATTATTAGTCAAATTGTTAGTAATTACTGGTTTTCTTTTTATCAGAACATATGAAAACTATATCGATTGTCTGATTCAAATGCGTCATTTTTAACATAATAAAGTCTTTTTCAAAATCATATACTCTCAGCATTCAATCACAGAGTCAAAGCTTTCTGTAATGTCTACAGTGGTGCCTTAACCGACTGTAAAATTTAAAATAACATTATTTTTGATGAAAGACCTGTACTGCAAAGAAAGATCGGCCTATCTATCCATTATTTCACTTCTCACGAAACTTCAAATTATCCAGAGGCGATGGCATGTTACAATTAAACTGTCAATACGAGCGGGATTCCACAATGAAATTGTAGTCGTCCAATTGTAAGAATTAAATTCTGGTAGAATTACCTAGTACATACAACACAGTCTTACTCTGTCTTACAATTTTATTGCAAGTCATTTTGCAATTTAACATCAAATCATGAGCGAACCTTTATGTGATACTGTCAATATTTTGGGAGAAATGGTAAACGCCATCTTAGGGACATTTTCAGCAGCCGTGATCATTCATACATACAGATTTCGCGCTAAAAGTGTTATTTTACGATAAAGGTATAGTGAGACCATTTTAGCATCGATGCTACTGCTCGTTATAGTAATGATTGAGTCCGACATAAACCATTCTTTATTGAAATTGCTAAGTTGTGAAGTGAAAAGTGCCAAGAGGGAAATAAAAGTAAATATACATTTTTACGCTCTCTTAGTTAAATTCCAAAGCCGGTTTGTTGGTGCTCTAGTATATAAAAAGAATGGAAAAGTACTCACAAATTAGAAAATTGTTCTCGTATATGTATATGCAAGGTGTAAATCGTGAGGTTTTCTACGCCTGGAGGCCAGGGAATATACCTATTCATACATCGAGGGTAAGTATCTCTACCGTGTGGGTCCTTTCAATACTAAAATGTTAGTAATACTATGTCTTTGTCGCGGAGTATCTTGATAGCGGTTACCACATCCTGACTACGAGTCGTCAAATATTGAGTGCTGTTGAAAATTGGATTCATTTAATGTCCCTAAGCATTACAGATATCTGCGACTCGAGTATTAGTATATCATTCGAGTTTAGTATACGTGAGATTTCATCAATATAACCATTTTATATGGAGCAATCAAGTTCTTGATTGGCCAAGATAAGTGTAGTATTGTTGTACGAATTTCACAACAATTGTCTTGTTGTCTGTCTCGGCCTTCCAGATCGCCGCTCTCGACTGATTGTCATAGACACATAGGGGCAGTAATGGAGGTGAGGTATGTAGGACAGCAACAGCTGTTTTGGAATTCTTTGGAAGATGCCAAAAAATAAAATAAAATAAATAATATATATAATATAATATAAAGGTATGCTTAAATTTCAGGCAAAATTATTAGAACATACCTGCAACTGAGACCAATATTTAAGATAGTACACAGCCACTTGGAGAACAGGGCCAGCTTTAGTTGTAGTTGATCCAGTCTCATTCTTTCCTTCAAATAATGCTGACCAAGCAAATGCACCAGCAATTATAACAGAGATAGTTCTATCAGCTCCTATTACTATCTGTCTATCATTATCATTGACACACTCCTGCAGATACCTCCAAGCACTGAGCCAAGATGCTACCTCATAACATACATGTAATCACCTTTGCCTCTGTATTCATTGACTGCTAACTCAACAAGCTCTTGGGTCCAGGCATACATGTTTGCAACATCTGAAATGTGTGGGGGTGAGTTTACATCCAAGTCCTCATTTTGCAAGTCTTGGAGGAATTGACTAAAGGTGTTGTTGAAGAGGCTGATATAGATAGGAGGGCCCCTAGCCGGGAAAGGATGACCAATAAAGATTTTTGGGACTTTTGTTGAGTTTGAAAAATTCACTAGGCTGGTCTCAATCTGACACAGCATCCATAGAGCAGCCTGTGTCAATAGCAGATTTGAATTCTGGAGCAAGGAATGTTCTCTGAAAAATTTAACATATCTGATACAAAGTCATCAAACAGGTAATTAGTATTGGAAAAGTCAAATCAATAACCCCCTCCCAAAAAAAAAAAAGGAGTAAACTATGTATTTTGTCAAGTCAACGGTAGTAGATAACAATATATATATATTGTTATCTACTACGGTCATGGAAGGGCAATCGATCATCAACTCTCTATCTTTCAGGCGGAGCTGTGGCTTATCCCACTTTAGTTAATTAAATAAAAGACAGCTAGTGACCTCCCTTCCAATGGAATTAATTCGGAAGCCTATAGGTTGAGGTTTATCTAAAATGCATTTCCACTTAAGTGAATAACAATCGTAATGTCATGAGAATATCCACGGGACAAGAGCGGAGATTCCTAATCGACATGGGATTAGCGGTTTCACAACCATACCGATAATTACCAGAAAACAAGTAATATATTTTAGAGTATAAAAAAATACTCATTTATTGATAATAATATTATTATTAAAGGGATCGAAAGTATCTGAACACATTGAAAATCGAGTCTCTTATATCTATATGGCTCTTTTCCGTGCGCGCTGTTGTCCATTTTCTCTAAATTTAGTTACTGATTATTGTTGTGCGACTACTATAATTATTGCGTAAAATCCTTGTGACACTAACAACACACATCAATACAGCAATAGGGAAAATATCATAGGATGTTATGAAGAAGGATCTTACAATATTAGATGCAAGTTTGATTACACAGGTGAAATTTCGATAACAGTGTAACAATTAAGTATACGTATTGGTATGCAAATTAATGCAAATAGCAAAGTAATATTCAAAGAAATATAGATCTTCCAATAGCTGGCTTTAATCCAGAACGTTAAATATTTATTACTATAATCGTATTAAGTACTTCCATACTCATCCTATCATAATTTAAGCGACTTGTTATATTGTAGATGTTCGACTAAATTCTACGTGAAATGTTATAATTGCATAGAAGTTAATCGAGTCTCCCAACCGTTATCATTTACTTTCCAGAACTTGCTTTGCTTCCAGCCGCCAAATTTTATGCCAAAATGTGTATCAAGAATTAACAAATGCTAAAAAGGTGGTATGGAGAATTTGAATATATAGGACGCGAATTAAGATTTGTCATCAGATGTTTCTGTCCAATGAGAATAGTTACAGCCTGATAACGTGCTTGAAAATGGTAAGTCTACTCCTGATCATCCTTTTTTTTTGCATTAAACGATGGCCAAGGCAGTTCAGAATGTATTTATTGTCGCCGCCAAGCGTAAGTACTTTCAACAGCTCTAATTATATATGCTTTGAACATATATATTAACATTGATTATTTTCAGGCACGCCGTTTGGCACATTCGGAGGAACATTAAAAGACTTCACTGGTATAAATATTATGAGGATACTTGTATCATTATTTGAAAACGCAACTTGTCAAACTAATTTATTTATATCAACTCACAAGCAACTGAACTTGGAGGCGTCGCTGCAAAAGCAGCGCTTGCTACACTCCCAAGCAAACTACCCATAGACTCGGTGATCTTTGGCAATGTTACCCAAACAGACAACACGGCACCCTATCTTGCCCGACACGTTGGTCATCGTGCTGGTTTACCTGTCACTGTGCCTGCCTTGTCCATAAATCGTTTATGTGGTTCAGGGTTTCAGGCTGTCATAAACGCTATTCAGGAGATTCGTGTTGGAGATGCACATGTTGTGTTAACCGGTGGGACTGAGAGTATGAGCAAATCACCATACACACTTCATAATGTTCGTTGGGGAACGAGGTACGGGATGGATTTAAAGATGGAAGACTCCTTGGCAACAGCATTGGTCGATCAGTATCCGACAAAGACGCCAATGGGTATCACTGCCGAAAATTTGGGACAGAAGTATAATATCACTAGGGAACAGTGTGATGAGTTTGCCTTGAGCAGTCAGAAGAGATGGGCAGCCGGTATATACATTTGATCTATGGATATTTGTCAGTTTTACAATTGAGAAGTAAACGTGTATCTCACAGCTATAAAATTTTTTATTATATCCGCTTTGATTATCTGCAGCCAAAGAAGCTGGGCAGTTTGAGAAAGAGATTGCTCCAATGGAGGTAAAGACCAAGAAGGGAACCATCGAGTTCGCAACTGATGAACATCCACGTCCCCAAACTACCATTGAGTCACTTAAAAAACTACCGCCTGTATTTGTAAAAAACACTGGTCTTGTTACTGCTGGCAATGCGTCTGGGATCAGTGATGGTGCTGGAGCAGTTGTAGTGGCAAGCGAAGAAGCTGTGAACCAGCACAAGTTAACTCCTTTGGCTAGAATCGTGAATTACTTTGTAGTAGGAGTTGAGCCAACGATTATGGGCATCGGGCCTGTACCAGCAATCAGGGGTGTCTTGCACAGAGCTAATTTGAAGTTGGAGGATATCGGCTTAATAGAAGTTAATGAAGCCTTTGCTGCACAGTATCTGGCTGTAGAAAAGGAGCTAGGACTCGATCGGAGCATTACAAATACGAACGGCGGTGAGTTATTAACTATTCTGATGTGCTGTTGGTAGTGAGAATAAATAGCGTTACTAACAAATGGCTCTTTACATATTTACATATATTATTTGCAGGTGGTGAGTAATAGTTCTTATATTTATATCAAAGATATGTCCTTGAAAACTGTATCGCAGCACAATTGTTCACTTTATTTTGTATTTTTATAGCCATCTCTGTTGGCCATCCTCTTGCAGCGTCGGGATCACGTATTCTTGCTCATTTGACGTATGAAATGCACCGAACTGGTGTCAAATATGCACTTGGGTCAGCTTGCATCGGCGGTGGTCAAGGTAATTAAATAGTCTTGATGTCACGAAAGTTAACTTGGAAGTAATTGCTAATATAATTTTTTAATTTTGTAGGCATAGCTGTAATTCTTGAAAAAGTATAATGGTATGTAACCAAAAGAGGAGATCCGTTTCTAACAAAAATCAACTAAAAATGAATAAAGGACTTTCTAGAATAACCCTGTTCATACTAAATGTACAAGACAAGTCTTGGACAAATATTTCTAGTTACAGTATCTTTATTCACAGACAACTTTCCAATTCAGGACTTGCCCCGCCAGGAAAGGAACAACTCGTCCCTTTTGCGCATCGCCATCTTTCCCATACTCGTAATTCTTTGGGACAGTCAGACTCTCCTTCAATAACCTCATCTCGCGCCCGCTACCTTGTTTCTCACTCACGCCATAAAACCTCTTTCCATATACACAAGCAAAACCATGCAATTTGTCCAAGGATCCGAAAGACTCTAATATTGTAGCAAGATATGACATTGTCAATGGACTAGTAAATACACCAGCTGCTCCTTGTGCACATTCTTTTAGGTTGTCCGGATGTGGTGCCGAATCAGTACCAAGAAAGAACCGAGGGTGACCTTCTAAAATAACATCTCGTAATGCTTGGCGATCGTGGGGAAACTTTGCGACAGGCTTGCAGAAGTTATGTGGTTTGCCTGCCCAATCGTCTACGGTTAATTGAAGATGGTGGACTGTTATCGTACAACCTATCGTGTCGCCTAGAGATTTAACCTGATATCAATCAAAAGAATGTCAATTGTCATTAGCCTATACAGTTGAAACTATTTCACGTGACGCCCCGATTTGATACATATTATCCTATCATACTTGCCATGTCCACAGCTGCTTTTGTTGTAGCATGTTCCAAGACGATTTTTAGTCGAGGAAAGTCATGATGCAGTTGTTTCAGATGCACAAGGAATTTTTCCTCGGCATTCAACACGCATACATCCTAATAAAACACGCGAAAATTCGTTAATTAATTGAGAGTGACTATGGCTGACCAAAGTCTATTTTAGACTCGATATCCGCATGGCGATACAAACGTTATCTGCGTCACTTGGTACTTCGCCGTGTAAGTTCAAAACCAAACCCTCTTCCTCCATTGCCTTGAACACGTCATAATACGTATTATAGGACTCGATACCCGAATCAGAATTTGTAGTTACTCCTCTCGGATACGATTTCACGCCTACATGGGATATATCGAAACATCCAATTAAATATATTTCCATACAAATTCTCTCTTCAGAGCATCGAAATTAGTATTCGAACCAACTATTCCGTGGGCTTTCGCTTTACGTATTTCCTCCGGTGTTAGTTCCGGCGTGAGATAAAGAGTCATTAAAAACGTCACATTCGGTGCAAGTTGTTCCAATTGGGCCTTGTACGCAAGTGCTTGGTCTGTTTTCGTTATTGGTGGTTTGAGGTTTGGCTAATATACGATAATCCGATAAGTATGTAAATTGTGGGGCCACGAAAAAGATTATAATGGATGCAAAATACCATGACATAACATAGAGATACGCCTCCTTCTAGTATACGAGGAACTATCATTTTCATCATGTCATCTTGACGCAGATGAATGTGGAAGTCACACGCAGACGGAAGTGTCAATATATTGGTCATTCTCTCTCGATTCGGTCTGTCATCAATATCGATGGGTTTTAATAATTTTTGTCCCACTTGTGTCGTACAAAGAATATTGTACTATCAGCTATATATTTAAAGTCCCTGCTTATTAGATAAAGAGTGACTATTGCGAGGCCTTTCAATAATTGCAGACGGAGCTCTGTAGAGTTTGAGCAAATACTATTACTATCTAGTTGTAGAACCGTTTAGATATTCCCAATTTGTGACACAATTAGTTATGAGCGTAAGTTAATATTAAGATATTGTCGGGTACGTTTTCGAGTTACTAAATTTGGTAGGGGAGAACACATTTCATTGCAAAAGTCACGTGAAGAATGTACGCAACCGTGCAGCAATATTAATATATGAAGATATGTGTGGGAAAAAAAATTAATTAAGCATGATTGCAAAATCTGATCACGGCAAAGCCGTGCAGTGGTACCACAGCGAAGCGTTATTTTTTAGCATGTATTTAACTTTGAGACATATGTGATGCTTGACATATTCTCTCCATTATTTCTGCGTTCCTCCGGCGGTGCCGCAGCCACATTCGATCAGCGGTAACACCAGCGCAGCTGCGGAATTGGGAAGTTACAACCATTTTTGGGGCGTTGCTGAGTACAAGCAGCTAGAATTTCAGCTAGAGTCAATGTGTTTTCGCATGGTGAATTTGATTCCTATATTCCTTATAATTCATATATATTTGTTAATAAACGAGTATCGCGTTTACTCTGAACTTGTATTATTGACCCTATTCTCTAAATTAGTTGATATATCTGAGAAACCGTTAAATCCGTATATCAACTGCTCCTTGTCCCACAATTATCTGAGTGGCGAGTTAAGATAATTAATCTTATTTTAGAAACGCGTTTACTTTTATTCATAAACCATTGTACCCCAAACGGGAGATTATCGGATTAATCCCTCGATAATAACCGACGAACATACTCGAGCACGATTAATTTATCTAGGATTTACGTCATTCTACGACGAAATAGTCCGTAAGTGAAAAGCCTTGAATTAACGAGGTCACTAACTGCAAACTAGATATTTAACTAGAATAGGAGGCGCCACGCTCCGTTAAATCCCAAGTGTCGATTACTATCTGCTCTCCCGCAGTAGTCGGCATGACACATACACCAACCAGAACAGGCAAAGCCTGGAGCTTCCGACCGATAATTATTTTCGAATTGAAAGAATATTTTGCATAGTATATAACCTAACAAAGTGAGTATAACCTAGAATCAATAATAGTCAGCCGTTGCAACAAAAATCGTTAAAAAATTCCAGAAATGAGTCTTTCTGAGCTTAGTAAATATGCATCAGAATTACTTGATGCTCTACCAGATAATAGGAAGAGAGACCAAGCACGAAGACGCTTTTGGGATGGCTTCAAATTTAGCAAAGAGCAGGTGGATGCTTTAGTTCCTATTCAAAAAAGTGGCCATAAATCTGATAACCTTAGAAGATCGAAAATTCCTACCTTGCAGGATCAGGAAGAAGAAAAAAGCTAACAGATTTTGCAAAATAGATATAGGATTAGTAAAGGTCAAGTAGATGCCTTATTCTCTGTCCAGAAAAACGATCGACCCGAAAGTAAACCATAAACATTGTAATCTCTAATCAGACCCCACAAGGCTTGGAAGAAGAGACTGTTGGAGAAATGGCGCAACGATTTTTGCAGGACAAGCTTAGTATTAGTGCTAGAGATGTAAGAGCTGAAGCTTATGCCTTAGCCCTACCAGCGCCAAATGCTAATGCCGGTTCATCACGTCTATCACGACTCAGAAGAGAATTAAGAAATCTTGCTGCTTCATCCGAAATAATCGAGGCAACAAAGATCTCTGAAATAACGAAAAAGGCCAACAAAATTCAGTAGAATCGACGAAAATTTGTTGAAAAATTGACTATCCAGACCATTTTACGTTAGAATCCGTTAAAGAAAGGTTAGATAAATACTATATATCTGCTCCATCCGATTTACAAGCTCTCGCAAATGTTATGCAGCCTTTTTCATTAAGTTGTTCAGAAAAGAAATATCATTTGCAGTTGCATGATCTAACTGTTCAATATACTGCTTGAATATACCAAACGCTTTTTTACCTTCTTCATAAGTGATAATGGATCTTTCCTCCTCTTCTTTATCTTCATCATCATCACTACTTATACTTGGAAGACATTCTAATATCAAAGAATCAAATTTCATGTAAATAGCTATCGCGAGGGACTTTTATTCACAACGTTCTATGTAAATGTCAAACAAATAACACGTAAATAACGCGAAAATAACACGAAAATAACTATTACACTGCAACGTCCATCACATTACAAAATAACTGCATACAGTCTTTTTTAGCAATTGGTGTAACTTAGGGGGTTCGGATTATTATATTTGGTTATTATTATTATTATAAGAATTTTGGGGATGTAATAGGGATATATTTGAGATGGGATATGACTGGCACAAAAAGGAACATTCGTTCTTAGAAGGCCATTTGTTTTTACAAAATTTGGGGATATAACCGGGAGTGGGATATAAACGGAGTACGAGCGTATTACCAAAGAAACAATACACGGCAGTCTCTGGTAAAAAACAGATAATAATTCTGATTATACATTAAGGTTTGTAATCATTGTCACTACAATTATTATCACCGGCTGAATACCACATATTAATATATGAATCAAGAAAGTGGTCAACCCTATCTTTATATCCGTAGTAATCCAAAATTGACTTATGGGTGGTAGTATCTGATTTTAATAGAAAAAGAAACCGAATTATTAATTTTATTTCAAAGAAATTATTTGATAAAATGCAATGTAAACTTTACTTACAAGATATGGGATTAGACAATGTTGGAGTAACAGGATAAGTGGTCTTATTATTATATGTGTTATTATCGGTCTTGGAGGTATTGGGATTGTTAGACTTGGGAATGTTAGATTTGTTAGTCTTGGAGGTGGTAGGATTATTAATCCTAGAGGTGGAGGTACCATTAGTAATACTCATTTTTACACAAAAAAAATCCTAATAAGTAAAAATCATTTCCAATATCCGCTGAAAACGATTACAATAATGGTACATTGCTTACCACAGAAGAGAAAAAAACGATATATTTTATACTGTTTAGAACTATCCCAAAAGCCAAATATATTTAACCATCGTTTTTTGGTAAAGTTAACCCTTAGATTCGACGATCTCGTAAAAAAGACAATGATCTTGGTGATCCGAGTCCCGCAACATGCGAATTTTGATAAAACTACTAATGAAAAATTCCTCTTATGGCTCTTTTAATATTATGAATTAAATCCGTGAATCAGAGATCAGCATAGAAGTAACATAAGTGATCACAGATCTTGATCTGAAAAAAAAATTTCTCTACGCGTGATAGAGCTATGGATTAGTGCTTTACTATGGATCTCAACGTAAAGGTTCCATGAATCGATATTTCTTCATTTTATGCATTTTTCTTTTACCTAACAAAATATTAAAAAACTACAGTTTAGAGGATGGGAAGTTGCTTTAGACTCCGACGACTTCACACTTCCTTCTATCCTGAAATTTCGTCGGACGAAGAAGGATTTCTCGTCCAATAAGCAAGTCGAGCATACTGCCATAGCTAAGTTTGTATCGTACGTGGAAGAAACTGCAGTAGATGAAAAGTGGAGGAAGGCGGCATCCGTCTTCAATAAAAGCGGAGAGTTAAAGGTAATAGGTATCAGAGGATTTGCGTGGCAAAGTGGTGAGGGAATAGAGAGGAGTTGGACACTGTCAAAACAACCACCTAAGCAGCCCATCAACGCGTTAGGCTAGTTATGGAGACTAGTTATAGAACTTACTCCGGTGGGCTCCATCTTAAGTCTGCGTGAAGGCCAGAGCCAACTCGTCTCAGTGCCAAGAACAACTCGTTCATTCGCAGTTCCCAATGAAACACGTTAATTTGCAGTTCCCAATGAAACAAGGGCGTGTGATTAGAATTAGGGTGTCAAATTTCCTGTAATTTACTTTTACTTTATTTCGTAGCGTCAGGCTCAATGGGAAGCTGTTGAGACATTCTGGAGAGAAGTCGAGCTTGAGGAAATTGAGAAAGACAATCAGCTGTTGTCGAAGAAAATGGATCAAGTTGATGTAATTGTCAGTTTAGTTTAAGTACCAAATGCATATTAAATGCACTAACCATTGCTTATGGTTTTGCAGATGAGATTTTGTTTAGATCAATCTTTAGCCGGAAATGAGGCTCACGTCATCTTGAACCGGACAAAGTTGGACTGTTTATCGAAAAGGGAGAATCTCAAGAGAAAAGCTGTACCCAATGTTGACACAGGCAAGAGCGATACAAATACTGTCAGCGGAACTATAACCGGTGGTATGTTCATTGACAGATCATCCGAATCAAAAACAGATCGGGAAAAGGTACGAATGCATTTTGTCATGAGAATCAGCAGAAATGGCCAATGTTTTAATGCCAATTATTTTAATGTTATCTCATGCATTTCTGTAGGACGAGATCGATGACTTCTTTCTAAGTACTTCCGAACAACAATCATCCAATCCGTTCGAACAAGACACTGTCAACAAAACAGATAACGAGAGGGACAAAGTATGATATTCACATAAAATGAATCGTTCGGTCATCACTATTCATAAAGATAAATATATTCTCTATCTCGCTTTCACTCTTTGTAGATTATTCATCGGACAGAAAAACATAAACGAGATGAGTCTCCTCATTGCCTTAATTGTGATGCAGAGAGAGGTAAATGTGATAAATACATTAAACTTTGTTGCAACGGATAAACAATATTCACTTTTTTTTTTATTTTTTAGATTAATATTTCTGTCTTTGAATTTTGTCCATTCTGTGGAACTAATATTGATGCAGGTGAGGAAAATGATGATACTCCCTTAAAGGTCAATAAGGTTGCCCTTATGATGCCATCCCAGACACTTCAAAGTTGCAGTTGAGCACAGGCAAAATAGTGGAGGATGTACTCTTTGAATTTGTGAAAGACATAGACTATGAACAGTAAGTTTCTTGAAATTTAAATTCGTTTTACCTTTTCATTCATGAACTGACATACATGGGGATGCTGAAAAGTTTTGTTGTTGATTCTTTATTTCTCGAAATTACATAATAATTATTAATAAAACTATTCCATTCCCTCAAAGTACTCTCCACTAA